ATATTGCGTTTAGTGCCAGTACTAGTTCTGCCGCCCTGATTACCTCATTTGTTACCGATCAATGTCATCACTGATTATCGTCACCGTGGCTGTAACTGTTGAAACAGAAAACAACAACCGCATCAACGCCATCGACCTGAACATGGCCGGCGAGCTGCTGGCGTCTGGTGGGAAGGACCTCAGTCTGCGCATCTACGACACTCAGACCAAGGAGGTCAGTGTGGTCTCAGGTCGGATGAAAGAACGATTTTGTCGCTTCAGGCTAATGGCACACACTGTCACACTCACAGTACTTACTGAAAGTTGAGACAGATGATTTAAGGAGGTAGTGACACTGGTGACACCATACCATTCGTATAATACGTATTGCGGCACAGCATCAATTCAGGCGTTTATATGTGCAGCCATCTATGGTCAGGAATGTAAAACACACTTTAACCCAGTATTGAGCGATCCGTGTTTTTGTGTGACATCTGACAGCTCTGAGCTACAAAACGAAATTAAAGTTAGTCAGTTGCGGTTGCACAAGACTTCACTCCCTCCATGAGACTGCAGAAAACTGACCGAACTCATTCTGTCCCCGTTCAGTTGATCCAGGAGTACAAAGGCTATCACCCAAGCACGCCGCAAAAGGACAGTGGCGGCCACGCGCTGAGCGTGTTCTGCATCAAGTTCCACCCGGACCAGCGAGATGTGCTGCTCACCGGCGGATGGGACGACACCATCAAAGCAAGTTCTTACCCTGCCACCATTATACTGTCCCACACGTCAATGTTTCATATTTGTCTATCCACTTGGCTCACATAGTGCGCAACTCATAAGCCAAGGCACACATTGTTCCACCATCAAAATGAGTTTTCTTCCCCAGCTGGTGTCTTATCAACCTCAATACTTCGCCCTGCCGGCAGTAAGACAGATGTTTATAGAGGCGGACGTCGAACGCTTGCGATACCGCCTGAATACGCATTGCGGCACAGCATAATTTCAGGCGTTTGTGCGTGCTGCCATCTATCGTAAGAGATGCGAAACACTTGCACTCACTCAAGTCTGGATACGGAAGGCTTGGCAAACGGCCAATCTTCTTCCGGCAGGAAATGTTTTAGGATTGACATTTGGAAACAAAACGTCAGCTTGTATTCAATCCCATTCCGTCATGAAATTCATTGCATTCAATCGACACTCGGCAGTCATCAAAACTTCATGATTTTCAATTTCTCAGACCTCACAGTTAAAACTTCGAGATAAGTGATGGCAGCCGATGGTCACGAGTCATGTTATTTTGCGCACAGATCTGGGACATGCGCACAGACGCCGGTATGATCGGATCTTTGGGAGGACCGCACATCTGTGGAGAGGCCATCGACATCAAGGTCAGTCCGTCAGACGGTAACCGAAATAGGTCTGAGGGGAAAACGACCGCATCAATGTACCTTTATGACAGGCTAAATGATATATTAAATGTAATGTTTTCAATATTATTATGTACGGATGCTAGGCTAGACGAGTCTAACCTTTCAGGATCATCATGATGAACAGGCAATGGACAAGAGGGATGACATATTTGACTTTTCCTGAAAACAAGTTAACATCCCTGATTGGAGGGGATTTGGGTCGAAATGCCATGCTTAGAGCTTGTTGTTCAATTCACCATGATACATAGTTCTGTTGTGCACGGTATAATTATCCTCCTTTCCCGGCCTTATTAGGGTGAGACGGTTGTGACGGGCTCGTGGAAAGCCGACCAGGCCATCCAGCTCTGGGACCTCAGACAGAGGCTGCCCATCAAGTCACTAACCACGTTCCGAAAAACGCACGTGGAGGGAGACAACATCTACGCTGTTCAGGTCAGCTAATCGTCCCATTATATTGCTCTTTTTGGAGAAGGAAATCATGTAAGAACTAAGAACCATTCCCATGTCTCTAGTGACATATTTCTAGCTAGATAAAGCCTTGTTTGTTTCTATAATGAATACGCATTAATGATGCATGCGCATGCAATACGCATAATGAAGCATTACTGAGCAGTCAACTACCACTAAGCAGGTTTTAACCCGCGAGTTGCTGGGGGGGGGCGTTAAACGCCCCCACTTTTTTCGCCGGGCCATAGTATAAAAACGGCGCGCCGCAGGCGCGCCAAATTTTTGGGTACCTGTAGGGAATTGATTGAAGTTTATCGTGACAAAGTTTCAAAAAAATCGGTCGGACAATTTTTGAGATATCGAGGTATTAGTGACGTCATGATTTCTGAGTTTTCGACCAAAAACGGCATATGTTCAAAAAATCATATAAAATCACAGAATAAACATACAGACATGCCGTAAACGCCATTAGACTGCCAATACCATGGTCAATCAAATGGCTATCTTCGATTATTGATTATCGTTCCGCATTTTCCATAATCTTGAACTGAATCTTGGCAATTTTTCGTGACTACTTCACGACCATGATACATGAATTTATTAAATTGAGCTTTTTGAGCCAAACACGTACACATAATAAAATGAATGTCACCATCGTGTTCTACGCCCCAAATTACCTATAAAACATGTGTCACAGGCTGCGAATATCAGTTTTGATTTTCGGGGATATGTGCCTACCCGGTTGACCTGACCTTGACCCTGACCTATGCTTGACTGACCCCTACATGGAGCTGACACTCTTGTAGGCCTTATAAGATGGATTGTGCACCGTATTGACAGAGTTTATGGCGAGAGGCGCCCATTGCGAAGTCCTGAAGTCCATGCTACTGAAAGCCCGATTTCAGGTGTTTGACTTGACCTTGACCCGACCTGTGACCTCAAAATTCAACTTTAAAGTACTCATCCGAAGCGTCTCGTCGCGCTCTTTCGTTTGCCGCCTCGTGCGTTTCGCTGCGCCTATTGGTTCTCGAGTTATCGGCTGGGGGCGTTTAACGCCCCCCCCCCAGCAAACGGTGGGTGGCGAAATACCCCAGCAACTGCCGGGTTAACGACAGGCGGAAGTATTGTTCCTAGCGGATCAATATTGAAGAGGAGAGCTCATGCGCACATCGGTTGTCTCATATCTAGTCAGTATTTGGTTGGGCGACTATTCAGACAGACCCCTGTTGTCTGATCAGTGTGGATGGCTCAGTGGTACCTCCGTTGATCAGTGGGATAGCTTAGACGATCAGTGGGAATATCTCAGGCAGACCTCTGATGTTTTCTGAGCTAAGACGGACATCTGTTGATTAGTGCGGACAGCTCAGACGGACCTCTGTTTGCTGATCAGTGGGGATATCTCTGATGTTTTCTGAGCTCACACTGACCTCTGTTTTCGGTAGTTTGCCCGCTCCGACCCGGACGGCCACCACCTACTGACGGCCGGGTCAGGAACCAACAGCTTCCAGTACATCAACCACATGACGGAAAAGGTGACAAACCAGCCGACCGGCGATAAATTATAATTGAATGGCACATTTGATTTCAGCATTGCACAAAAAAAGTCACATTAATGAGTACCTAAACAAAGCATTCAATTATATCGGGCCCACAAAATGGGCTTTCGGACAACCCCAACCGACCTCTAAGCGGCTTGTGGCAAATCAAAACGTACCGTGGGGTCATTATCCCATGAGCGACAGAAAGACGCAACCATTTACCTATGGATTGGCCTGGGACATTCGGCGCCTATCAACACGCCTATCCCGTCGAATTCTTTTCCAGAAACCGCATCCGTACTAGAACTAATGCCTACATTAACGACATGTCCTGATCAGCTTTACGTTGGCGTACATTGCGTAGTTACGCTGATCTTTCTCAAACAAATGCATCGTAGTTTTACCGTGCTACGTCTCAGAATACACCCAGTAAGCCGATCGTGCCCAATAATCCCTCAAATTGGCGTCCGCCGTGAATTCCCCCGACCCCCGCTAACAAGGCGGTCGGCCGTTCTCGGAATTCCGTTCTGTGGATTACATTGATCGGTATCTGTGGCAGGTGATTGGTACGGGAGCGACTCAGAAGCCCTTCTCGACAGTGGACAGCACCGGCCAGGTGCTGGCGGCGGCCGGCGGGGACGGCTGGATCCGCCTCCTGCACGTGCCCGGCCGACGTCACTGATGGAGGCAGGCTGAGACTAAGGAGATGACAGACCCACGGGAGAGAGAAGAGGAGAGGGAGGACCTTTGGGAGGGAACGAGAGAGACGGTATAGTTAGACCCCGAGGGAGAGCGAAGCTACGGGAGATAATGCCGAGGACTGTCGAGAATGTAGGATGATGAGAGGAATGTGAGAGCCAATGTAAAGAATATTGAGAGCCAATATCGCATTCTACGACTGGTGTGCGAGTTGGAATTCGAATTTTTTTGTTATAATGATGTTCTTCGTTGCAGTGGCTGTACTGTTGTTGAGCTGGTTAGTGTAATTATGTGACATATTCTGTGTTCATCGCAATTTCAAACTATCCACCAAGTCCAACGAATGACGCAAGCTGGATACTGGATACTTTCTACATTCGTAGATATCAATATGACTGCACCACTAGTGACGTACGTGATTACTGAACTCTGTCTCTCTTATCGACCCACGTGTCGGTGGGAGGTCGGAAACTCTGTTATTACACGTGATGCCATCAATAGTTTGTGCTGCGTTTGGCAGGGAATATCCACGGACGGCAATTGCTGACACGTGACACATGTCCCACCGTCCGTCAACAGTTCACGCTGCGCCCGATAGGGACAGCTCACGGACGGTTAAGTGGCTGTCACGTGACACGCTACCGCTCGTCGGAGCCTGTGCTGCGTTTGGCAGAGGCTGTCTAGGGACGGTAATGGTAGCCTGTCCTCGGCTCCGTCCAACCACAGCCCGTCAGTAGGACGGGCTGTATGAGACAGACGTGAGCGGGCCACCAGCCACGCCCTGTAAGGGTCAGTAACAACTGGGGCAGGGCTGGGCCAAATGGGAGGAGAGGGGGGTATTGAATAGCAGTCGCGACATGATATTCAGTCAATGCCTAGGATAATTGGTCGGAAAACTATTTTGAAAGGCGTTGAACATCTATTCTCAAGAAAAGCACAACAGTTACAAACACGAATGAGATCACGAACTTATTATGACATATTGAGCAGACCGAACTACATACATGCTATACACCTGAGCTGCTAGAGATCCATCTGCTGAACCCAGATTGTGCAGTAATCCCGGGCAGAGAACAGGACAGGCCAACAGTAAACTTGGTGAGCGACAAAACAGTCCACACAAGACATCGCAGCGGTGGACGTTTGACCGAGCAGGCTCACGAGTAACGATCTAGTCATAAGACCAGTTTATATCTTGTACTCGCATCACAGAAGTGCCATATTTCCTACCTGCGCTGCAAATGACAAACGCTCAAGCATATGACACTACGAGAAATGATTTTATTATACATTTCATACAGCTTACGATGCATGTGCTTATGAAGCGCTGGGAATCCAACATGTGACACACGCACCGCCGTTAGCAAACAAAGCTCGATTGTCCCGAACATTTCCTCCCATGGCGGCGTTCAAGACAGCTCCGGCGCCGGGTGGGCCGCTCACTTTTGAGGTGGCTTTTCGTCATCCTGGGCGTGTCTCGACCAGTATTTAGCTGCTGAGGTTGCTGTAACAAAAAGGGACGAATCAATCGGAAAGAAGATCGAATTAATCTTTGATACAGGTCAAAAATGATCAAGCACGACAAAATAAAAATCCCAGTGCAAAAAGGTACCGACCGAAAAATACCTGAAAAGAAAAAATACAAGTTTATGAAGCACATGACGATCATAGTTTGAAATCGATTAATAGCAAGTGAGCTAACTAAGAAAGAAATCATAATGCGGACATAGCGCACACTGTCATGCCATGACGATCAACTGGGATGAGCCAGGGAGGGATTTCATCTCAAACTTTCATGAACCAGAGGCCATCATCGGACGGAAGCACTATGGAATCTTTGAAAGCACAGAGTGTGAGGCGACTCACGAGTCCGTGTCGGTCTCCTCGTCCGAGGACCCCTCCAGCTTGTCCCTGAACCAGTGCCAGAACTGGCCTGCAACAGACAGCAGCGAGTGGCGGGTCGCTTCAGGACATGCTCGATCGATTTAGGGACGATTTGGTCGGTTCATCGTTCAGACCGGTCGGGTGAAAAAGAATGGCAAAGGTCTAAGCTAGGGGTGTTGTAGGGAGGTGAGTACAAGAGAACCAGATTTGGATGATGTGATTTTTGGAAAGGAAATGACTACGGGCATTTCCTAATAAATGGACGTTGAAACGTGAAATGTCACTGAAGCTTTAGTGCACTGAGACAGATTATAGGAGTACCCTCCGTGGCTCATCCCAGCTGATAAAGGCATCTAGCGCAATGTCCGAGAATAGATGCGTCTCCCGCACTTCACCAAAACAACCAACAGTCTTTATCTTAACTACCATACCTCGCTATAAAAAGAGACACTAATTCCCCGTTCTGGCATCGGTTGGCACTCACCAGCCTGACGTTTCTCGTCCGCCTTTGTGACCTTGCTGGGTCGCCGTATCTGGCTGCTGGGGCCGCCCGTGCCGGCTGTACCCAGCGGGAACGGCGTGCGGCGCACCACGGAGAGGCGCGGCGGCGATTTTCCCGCCTGCTCCACCGCCAACCGCGCCTCGGCCAGCTCAGCGGCCGCTGCCGCGCGGCGGAGGTATCGGTTTATGCTAGCGCGCCGCGCAGGCCGGACCGGCTCATCAATTGTGGGAGGTGGTGGTGGGATGGACGGAATTGATGTGAGGAGGCTTGATGGGGTGTGGGAGGAATAGGTTGACGAAAATTTCAGGGGTTAGGGGGTGAGTGGGTGTGAGGGCGGAAGAGAAATGTCATAGGCTCGGGAAATGCGTGTGAGAAGAGGCCGGGGCGTAGTCTTTGAAGTTGTAGGTATATGAGATGTAGGAATTCTTTGAGGAAAGACTGAGTTTGCGAGGGTGGGTGGGGTGGGGTGGGGGATATGACGTCCGGCTGTCAGTTATAGCCATTGTGTGAAGGGTGGTAGAGGACCGACATTAGTTATCGACATCGACGTCGATAACAGCTGTACGTGTAACTCGATATCTCATCCCACGTCTGACAACACTATAAACATTTTAAGAGTGCAAAGGCATTGAATAAGTGCTTCATGAAATATATACGTTTAAATGCTGCTGTTATATCTGACAACCGTTTCCTTCATAGCATCCACAACGTCCTAACTTATAATCAACCGCATAGGTACTGAAATCACCACGTCACTCTGGTGCCCGTATACATTGACCTATCTACCGCTACTATTCCCTCCCCGCGTCTCTAACCCATACATCCCACGGGCCTGGCCATACCATACACCCATACAAGCCCACTCCTCGCGGTTTCCACCCTCCCATACCTGAGAGTGAGTGCGGGGATGGCGGGGGCGGCGGCGGCGGCGGCGGCTGGGCCTCCGGTTCCGGTTCATCATCTTTAGCCGGCTCGAAGAGCACCTTGATGATGGCGCGCGGGTCGTCCACGGGGAGTACTTGCTGGTCATCGTCCTCTTCCTCGACGTCTGGCAGGCCGGGACGGTTGATACGACGCATCCCCTGCAGTCCTGCAAGAGGAAGGGGGGCTCTGGGTTAGACCGACTAGAGTGGAGTGAGGAATTAGGGCAATATACGAGCCGCCGCGAATTGTTGATATTCAAGTAGAGGGCCTGACATCAGTAAGATATCCATCGATACCTAGATATCCGGTGGGTAGCTGATATTCTGCTTCAGGTTATATTCAGGATATATTCAGAACTCTGACTCACGCGTGGCGGCCTCGTCGATGAGCTGCAGCAGCATGACCTTATCCTGTCCCTCCAGCACTAGCTGTCCGCGCAGCAGGACAATCATCTCCTGACGGGCCAGCGCCAGAGAGCGCAGGTAGTAGGCCACAACACTGGGGGAACGGGAGGGGGAGGGAAGGGATGGGAAAGTCAGGGTACGCCACCACAATAGGGGGACGAGCTGTGTTCTGAGCGACATGAACGTAAAGTCGAGTCGATAAAGGGCTATGCCGGCTGCTGTCAATCTCGCGTGAACAAATAAATACGTACGTTCCATCGTAAATATATCCGATTTACCTTGAAAAGGAAATGGTAGATTGGAGGTTGAAAAGGAAAGTGGGACAATAATTGTTTCACTGACCTGAAGATGAGCAGCCACACGGCCACCACGCCCGGTCGGCTAGAGTACATACAGCACCTCTGTCTATTAGCCTGTCTGTTTGTGTTTGTGTCTGTGTCTATATGTGTGTGGAGGGTTGGTCTGACCTGAAGATGAGCAGCCACACAGCCACCACGCCCGGTCGGCTAGAGTACATAGCCATGGTGTAGGGCGCCGTGTGACCCTCGTCCTTCCATCTGCAAACACCGTGCGAGTCATTACAGTGAACAACCGATCGAGAGGCAGCACAAGCAAACCTGCGCACACATCTTAAAGCAAAACATTTAAATTAGAGATTCCTTCAAATGAACAAAATCCTCAGATCGTGAAAACTTCCGTACATAAGTTGAGGAAAAGGGGACTATCTTATCTTTCGACGTTTCTGATTCCGAAAGAAGGCGCGGCACCATAGCTACAACGTTTCACGGAGCCACCGGTGACCGACCTTGTGAAAGTATCGTTGACGACTACGGAGGGCAGTGATTTCTGCTGGAACGGACCGCAGGTAGCCGACGGACGCACACTGCGGGGAGAGGAAAAGGTCGGACCGGTTAGCTCTGCAGATGAATCCAACGAAACTGTTCTTCGGTAACAAGCAAAATAGCAGGCCGCAACAAACTCCCACCATCACCAGTATTTGCATTTCTGGATGCACTTTGACTATGACTATGACTATAATTCAGGGTTGCTATAGGCGATAGTTTCGATATATTCGACGGGCAATATATTCGCTCAATGATGCATGCACGGATAAGGAATAGGAGTTATTTGTGGAGTCTAGCGAAGATCATGACACCAGCGAAGTGAGATCACTCAATGACGAGCGGATTTATGCCTCACGACTTCACATTCAACATATCTTACTCCCTGACTCCACATGACTCCCTAACTGACATGACTCCGTATGCGACTCACCACGACTCCCTATACGACTCACTTGGTGACGATGTAGCCGGTGAAGCAGGCGGCCAGAAAGCACACGATGAAGGCCACCATTCTGAACAGGGTCTGTGTCTGGGAGGCCCTCACGGAGCGCGACTGGGGCGTGCAGTGACGGAACATGGACCACTGTGGGAGACGTGACGGACGCCGGTCATATCGCATTGGGAGGAACAAGTGCCAGACTGGTGAAAGATATAGGTTTACTCCCGCTGCGAGGTGTAAATGAGCGAGCTGCGTAACGGGATACTGCGCAGATATAAAAACCGGACTTATCCGTCTGAAAATATGTGTCGAGAGTAATACCAGTTATTCCAGCGGCTATCAGGTTAACTGCTCTATTCTTCACCGTTGTCTTGTATTAATGTTAATGAGGATTCCTTTCCTCACCAATGCTTTCTGAAAAACATCGGATCTACAGACACGGAACTAAATTCACCGATATGCACAGAACTACAAACGTCCTCACCTTTCGAACGTAGAACATGATGGCGAGTTTGGCGGATCCCACGAGCGACAGCAGCGGACTGAAGTAGGCGCCCGTCCACACCAGTGTCTGACTGTAGATCAGGAACATGGTGTTCCGTGGGATGTCAAAGTGCGGCTCCTCCACCCAGAGACCGTGCCTGAGGAGAGCGGGGAGGGTTGTTACAGAGGGAGGCTGCAGGGCTGCGGAGTCGGAGTCGGAGTCGACAGTTGTGACTGGAGTCGGAGTCAGAGTCGATTTCGGAAATCCGAGCCGGAGTCGGTACTCACTCGTGTGCCACTTTTCTGGCGAACTCGAGTCCCAGCTCGAAGACGAACATGAAGAACAGGTCGACGATCATCAGCTGGTACAGCTCCGATCCCACCTCATTCTCCCAACACTGCCGGAATAGATGACAAAGTCAAGACCAACCGGACTCTTTACCTGAAGTCATTTATGAATGCATTTCAACCCTCGCCCGCACATGCCATTTTCCCATCCTAGAACCGCGCACATGGGGGGGGGGTTGGCACCCCCCCCCCCCGCGCCATTTCGTTCCTGTTGGAGATAGAGCTTAGCGGTAAGTGACCAAAAAGATTTTTTGGGAAGAGATGAATCCAATGATACCCAGTTTTGCCTTCTCAGGTCAGTCATTGACCTTCCAGGTCAGGTCAAACTAAAAAATGTTGCTGTTTTGGGTCACCGTTGGATATCAAGTGCGCTGCTTATCATATACCGATGACGATGCCGTTTTCTGGTGCCAAGCCAGCTAGAACCTCTTTGTCACACTATCCGACCAGGTTTTTGCTGCTGAGGTCATTTCAGGTCAAGTTAGGTCAAGGTCAATTATATGTGTTTGTATGTCTGTGTGTGTCTGTGTGTATACTGATGTGTGCACCGATTGTTTATGTGTCCATATTACATGAAATCATGATCTGGGAAGCTTTTACCAAAAAAGCAGTAAAAAAAATCACAAAAAGTAAATTCCGCTTGCCTAAAACGCAATTATCTTAGATGACCTAGGTTGACCTTGACCTTGACCTTGACATCTGTACATCGTCAAACAACATGTTCCATGATAGGTCGGAGGTAAAACTGACAAAAAAGGCCGAAATCAAGGTGTCAAAAGCTCACAAGGCCCATAGCCAACGCAAGATGTTGAGAATTGGCCATTTGGGTCATGACATGACCTTAAAAACAAGGTCATATCTCCGAAACCGAAAACCGCAGAAACTTGAAATTTTCAGTGGACATCAAGAAAGGATAGAGGAGCAGCTATACGAAAAATCAGCCTTCTAGCTCTAAAAATGTTGATTGCAGAGCAGAAAGACTACCTGGGGTGGGGTGGGGTGGCACCCCCCCCCCCCCCCCCCATGTGCGGGCGAGGGTCAATCATGAGCGATCCATATCATATGGCGTGGCGATTAAGTCGTAGCTTTAACTCGTCTGCATCTTGCCTGCATTTTGTTTTGTAAGCCAAGTATCGAAAATATGTATGCCGATTGCTCAATTATTTTTGGAGCTTCGTCAGCTGGACCCAATCGGACGTTTCGTTTCAGCCCTGGGCCTGTAACCCCCTCAGCCACAACCCACGAGCATTACAGTGAACTGCCTCCCCAATCAGCGAATTCGCTGCAGTACAGGCACCCACCTCGTCCCGGGCGCCCGAGTCAGTATCGGTGGAGCGGTTGTTGACCTGCTGCACCCAGTAGATCACGATGGTGCCCAGGATGATGATGGCCATCACCACCATCCTACGGGGAGTGTAGGTCAGATCAGGGTGAGGGTCTGGTCAGGATCAGGTCAGGGTTAGGTAAGGGTCAAGGTCTGAGTCGGGTGAGGTCAGAGTCAAATCAGCGTCAGGTCAGTCACGTTAGGATATTCAGGTCAGTCAGATCATGGATTGATTCAGGGTCGGTCCAGGCTCAGGTTAGCAGGGTTGTGCTCGACTCAAAGAAATTTGCCGACTCGACTCATCATTCAACTTCAGAAAGTCCTGACTCAACTCTGACTCAAACAAGGAGCTGATTTTTCCCTTGACTCGACTCATGACTCAAGCGGCTCAATGAAAATATGAGTCGACTCAAACTTGACTCAATTTTTTGTTGAGTCAAGTGAGTTGACTCAAAATTGACTCAGATAAAAAATGCTGAGCGGGGCGGGGTGGAAAAAAATCCGGCAGCAGAGCCAGGGCGAAGTTGTTAAGCGGGGGGGGGGGGGGAGGGGGAAATGAAAAGCTTGTTTCTAGAAAGTTGAGTCAGCTGACTCATGTTCCTAAATGTTTGACTCAACTCAATGTCGAAAGTTATTTTACTGACTCAACTCTGACTCAACTCAAAGCCTTAATATTTTTGTCCGACTCAACTCTGACTTAACTCAACAGCTCAACACTTTATCCGACTCGACTCAAATCTGACTCATTTGAGTCAGAGTTGAGTCAAATTTATGACTCGACTCATGAGTCAAGCACAACCCTGCAGGTTAGAGTCACGTCACGCTACTTCTTCTCATCTAATTAACTTTTATACCACCCATCCCCGTTAGCCGCCCACGGTCCACCAATGCCCACCTGATCAACGTGATGAACATGAGCGCTCGGGGGTGTTTGAAGTTCTCCAGCATGCCGAGGAACTGGAAGAGCATGGGGAAGAGCGCCATGGAGGCGCTGATCATGATGGCGGAGCCCAGGAGGGAGATGAAGCTGCCGTCCGGGCCCAGCGTCTGTGGAAGCGGATGGGGATCGCGTCAGGTCAGGACGGGACAGGGCATGTCGAATGGGGTTGGACGGGATAGAGCAGGGTAGAAAAGGTTAGATGGAAAGGCCACGAGGACTAGGGACAGGGCGGTGCAAAAGAGCCAAGGACTGAGCACGAGACAGAGTGGCAGAGAAAAGTCGCGAAGAATGACAACGGAAAATGGAATAGCGAGAGACGGCGCAGAGTAGTACCAGGACAGCGAGGAATAAAAAGCGGGAGCAGGAGAGCGCCTGAACTAGTCCGCAAAACCCATCATTGTCTGTCCGTAGGTTACCCTCTGTCTCACCTCAACACTCTTTCCCATATGATCCCCCTCTCCCCTTCCCCGGACGTACCGCGTCCATGCCCATGACGTTCCAGGTGAGCACGGCCACGGCGCCCAGCACGGCCACCACCAGCAGGTTGCTGGCCAGCCGGCCCAGCACCGTGTACAGCTGGGCGCGCCGGCGCTGGGCGGCCGCCGCCGGATCCTCCCCGGCGGCAGCAGCCTGCTCGGCCGCGTGCAGCTCCTCCTTCTTCTTGAGCTTCCGCTGAGGATTGGAGGAGTGGAAGAAAAGGATGAGGAAAGGACGAAGGGAATGATGACAGACACAATGGTAGCGTAATGATTGAATGGGGAACGTGATGACACGATTAGGAAGGATACTTAAGCTACAACTGTTCTGAAGGAAGCCAGTCGACAAGGGTGGAAAACGAGCATTAAGTCGTTTTGCAAAGGAAATTGTTTGATGCCAACAAATAACAAGAGGACTTTGTCGGGGATAGACGTAGTTTCTCTGAACCCCATACTAAGCTCCACTCACAGACCAGTGACTCCGGTCTCCCCTCCCGCCTCCCCTCACGGCTCACAGGCACCGCACCTGGAAAGCCTGGTAGAGTCCGGTGCGTTTCAGCTCGGCCAACTCCTGGGATGTGACGCGAGCGTCCCACCCGGCGAAGATCAGGTTGGCCACGTTGCCGCTGGTGTCGGTGGACACGTCGATGAAGTTCTTACGGTAGGAGCGAGCCGTGCTGGGGGTAGCGGATGGATGGAGTTGCTGCTCGGCACGGGCTTGTCTGACGCAAATAGTATTGGTCGACTTTTATTGGAATTTCGAATAATGGCACAAGCAACACAGCACAAACAAAGGACGACTCATATACAAGTGAAACAATTATACGGCCAGTATAATTCGCCGTTGTCATTGACCAAGCGCCACTGACCTGGTGGCCAGCTTCATGAGCTGGTAGGTGATGCAGAAGGTGGTGATGGCCAGATAGGCGGACGGCATGTGGTAGTGCGTGTAGGACGATGTGCGGATCGAGTCGCGGTAGTAGTAGCCGTAGTACATGGGCGTCGAGTACAGCCAGCCCTGTCAAACAAGGCAGTACTGAGCTTTGGGTAGAGAACATAGGAACCTAGTATGTGCAGACAAACCTGCCGCACAGAATCGTCACAAACTGCGATGATAGAAAGCATCATATCTATTTAGCCAAAGACCCGACTAATGTCCCGGTGAAAAGGTTATTCTGCTGTGCAAAGGCAAAAACGATTACGTTAGGTCAGAGGTCATTACGTCAGGTCAAAGGTTATCCGAACGTAATCATCTTTGCCTTAGCACAACAGTATTCTGAACAGTCCCTGAGTTCCTATCGCTCAGCAGATTATTTCTCGTCCCCTCCTATCACAAGTGAGTGGGTAAATGTGCAGTCCCCAAGCTGCTAGCCCGCGCCCGGCTGGGGGTCCTGGATTTCCACGCCCTGCTGGGGGGGGGGGGGTGTTTGAACACCCCCCCCCCTTGTAACTCGGCTCCTGGACCACGTAGCGATACGCGGAAAGCGGCGTTCGAAAGAGCGTCAAAAATAATGACGAAATCACTTCGGTCAATTTTTTGGTCAGGTCAAAGGTCAGGTCACCAGAGGTCATTGAAGGCAAAATTTCGCCGATTTCCAGGTCGAATGTCGAAAATTTCCAAGAAGCCAACGCATAACTCGAGAACCAATAGAGCTACAGCGCTGCGGAAAAGCGCATTCGATAGCCCTATTAACGTCCTTTCTGAGTAATTCTCTCAGATTTGACCTAACGTCAACGGTTTTGCCTGCAGGGGGCAAAAACTGCAAAAATAGCCGATTTTTTCGGAAACAGTTTTTTGCAATAACTTTTGACCCAAGCCTTGTACGAGGTTACTTTTACCGGCATTGTGTTCCTCTCGTCAAGACGCATCGAATGAAGTATAAGTTCACCTTGAAAGGTCAACTTGAAAATTTGACCTCAGGTCAAGGTCATGACATGACCGGAAAGGGTCATGTTGCATATCAGTCGATTCGTATTGTCGAGCTGAACACATCTAAGGCGTTTTAATCGCTCTAGCATGCCTCTATCAAAAGTTATTTGCGAAAAACTGTTAGATACCATTCGTGACCTAAGATGACCTCAGGGCATAAACAAGGGTCACGGACACCATTTTCATGTTCAGTGTGTCTAAACTACTTGTAATTCGGTGTTTGGGAGTGTTTATAATGTCTTTTGTCCAAAAGAGGCGCATTTCAATTTTCTCCCATTGACTTATAATGGGGAGGTCGCAAAATTGACCTGACCTTAGGTCATCGATATCAAAATTCTGAGATATACATTTTGTACATGCTATTGCTCTTAGCAATCGCTGAAAGTTTCAAAGCGATCGGTCACTCGGTGTAGCTATGACAGACATTGAAACTGTTTATGAGGTGAGGTCACTTCAAGTGACCTGGTGACCTGACCTTGAATGACCTTGGTCTGAAATTTTTACAACATGTGTAGAATTGATGTATGATAAGGTGTACCAAAAACGGCGTCGCTCCGCGCCGCCGTTTTTGAGATATTCGCGAAAAACCACAAGGGGGGGGGGTTCAAACACCCCCCCCCCCCAGCAGGGCGCGGGCTAGTTCACCTGTCCAGTGAGCAGGTTACTCAGGAAGAAGTGCAGGTTCGGTATCGTCCTGTTCTCCATCTCCATTCGAGCGTGCATCGGATCCGGCACTGACAAAAAAAAAAAAACGACACAGACGGCATTACTCGCCTCTTGCCTACGGCCCGTGCCCCGTGATTATGCAAAGCTATTTAACAAAACACATTCTAGAAAAAACAACACCGCATGTCTTTTTTGCTGGACAGCATTTCGTCGATAAGCACCATTACATAAACGCTGAAAATAACTACCGACTCTCAAGCTCGATTCCCTATTCATCTTCAATGGCCACTAATGACGACTTAGTAGAGTATTACGCCTTCATGAGCTGAAGTAGGCGGAGGGCAGTGTTTAATGAGCGCGGTAGGCTAGGTTGTTATATCTTACGTCCCAGCGCGCTGCGACGGGCGGCCTCGGGATCGTAGATGGTCATCACCAGTTGGGGCACCACCAGGAACAGGAAACTGGCCGAGGGAGGGGCAGGCGAAGGATCAGGAACGGGATGTGCAGAAACGGGACAGGATGGGACAAACGAGCGAGAGGCGAATGGACGTTTATTTATACGTAAGAACGACTTTATACGACTCATGTCAGCGACTTTACTATAGACTATCAGGAATGTAGTTTATATATCCATAAACATAATCAATTATCATTTAAAAAGTACTCGTCATTAGCCGAAATAACCGAGCTGAAAAAATCATTCGAGAAAACTGACCCATTGTTGTATTCTTAGATAAACCAGATTATTGAGGTGCATCGTGCATACCCATCCCATAGGATATATCATTAAAAACTTAGTTGCATACCGCGCTCTGCCATCCACGACTCCTGCACGTTCACTCACTAACCTGATGAGGAGGACCTCCATGTTGACGATCAGCAGCCAGCGCATGAAGCGGAAGTAGAGGCCCACGTTTTGGCCAAAGTTGCCCTCGATCGTCTTCATCTGCTCGTGCCAGATGTGAACGAGACCGTGGGCCTCGGCCATGTACCGTTTGGTCTGTCGGACGACGGAGCAGGATGGTGAGTACTGCCAACAGCACCGGCATACAGCCATCAATCCTAAAAGAGACTCGGCTCACTCCGAACAGAGCTTCTAATGTTTGAGCACAATTAATGGCTGTAATCAACTGAGCTTCCCGTTTCAAAAGCGCCGCGGATTTGCTATCATCTCAATATTCACCAGACACGTAAACAAAACTGTTCATAAAACGTTCAAAGACATACCGTGCATGGGCGTTCCTAACACACCAACTACCGCACACTAACTCTCATCTTCCGACTTCAATCCCTCACCAGCACGAGAGCCCGGCCGGCGTCGGCACTCCAGCGCATCAGTCGCGTCTGCTTGACGAGCGCCTTCCGCTCCATCAGGTTAGTCTCCAGCCGCTGACGGACCTTGCGCTTCACCGTCAGACTGACGGGGAGCTCGCGCAGCCGCGTGCTGGGGACGGGGAGGGAACGTTAGGAGAGGGGAATGGAGGGTAGAGGAGGTAAGGTCATGTCATGGGACGGCAGATATGGTGAAATTGAGAGGAATGATAAGGAAATAAAGCAGGTGTCAAGCCCCGTGAAGAGAAAGGGAGGGCTGGAAAAACCATGTCAATCAGAGCAAGAGAGGATTAGGTGAAGCGATAGGAGAGGGTAGATCAGAGCAGGGCAGAAGAGACAGGCTTGATAGGCTGCAGTACAGAATATACGGAAGCCGGTAAAATGGAGAGTGGGGAAGGCGGAAAGGTCGAATTTACCCCGCGTTCGGAGTCTCTCGGACGACGAAGATTCTATGTCATCCGGCAAATTGCACGTTCAAGGTCAGCGGGGGCTTGACTGCGGTTATCGAACGGGATTGGCCGGACGACGTAGAATCTTCGTAGTCCGAGAGACTCCGAACGCGGGGTAAATTCGACCTTTCCGCCTTCCCCACTCTCCATTTTACCGCTTCCGATATTCTGTACTGCAGCCTATCAAGCCTGTCTCTTCTGCCCTGCTCTGATCTACCCTTCCTATCGCTTCACCTAATCCTCTCTTGCTCTGATTGACATGGTTTTTCCAGCCCTCCCTTTCTCTTCACGGGGCTTGACACCTGCTTTATTTCCTTATCATTCCTCTCAATTTCACCATATCTGCCGTCCCATGACATGACCTTACCTCCTCTACCCTCCATTCCCCTCTCCTAACGTTCCCTCCCCGTCCCCAGCACGCGGCTGCGCGAGCTCCCCGTCAGTCTGACGGTGAAGCGCAAGGTCCGTCAGCGGCTGGAGACTAACCTGATGGAGCGGAAGGCGCTCGTCAAGCAGACGCGACTGATGCGCTGGAGTGCCGACGCCGGCCGGGCTCTCGTGCTGGTGAGGGATTGAAGTCGGAAGATGAGAGTTAGTGTGCGGTAGTTGGTGTGTTAGGAACGCCCATGCACGGTATGTCTTTGAACGTTTTATGAACAGTTTTGTTTACGTGTCTGGTGAATATTGAGATGATAGCAAATCCGCGGCGCTTTTGAAACGGGAAGCTCAGTTGATTACAGCCATTAATTGTGCTCAAACATTAGAAGCTCTGTTCGGAGTGAGCCGAGTCTCTTTTAGGATTGATGGCTGTATGCCGGTGCTGTTGGCAGTACTCACCATCCTGCTCCGTCGTCCGACAGACCAAACGGTACATGGCCGAGGCCCACGGTCTCGTTCACATCTGGCACGAGCAGATGAAGACGATCGAGGGCAACTTTGGCCAAAACGTGGGCCTCTACTTCCGCTTCATGCGCTGGCTGCTGATCGTCAACATGGAGGTCCTCCTCATCAGGTTAGTGAGTGAACGTGCAGGAGTCGTGGATGGCAGAGCGCGGTATGCAACTAAGTTTTTAATGATATATCCTATGGGATGGGTATGCACGATGCACCTCAATAATCTGGTTTATCTAAGAATACAACAATGGGTCAGTTTTCTCGAATGATTTTTTCAGCTCGGTTATTTCGGCTAATGACGAGTACTTTTTAAATGATAATTGATTATGTTTATGGATATATAAACTACATTCCTGATAGTCTATAGTAAAGTCGCTGACATGAGTCGTATAAAGTCGTTCTTACGTATAAATAAACGTCCATTCGCCTCTCGCTCGTTTGTCCCATCCTGTCCCGTTTCTGCACATCCCGTTCCTGATCCTTCGCCTGCCCCTCCCTCGGCCAGTTTCCTGTTCCTGGTGGTGCCCCAACTGGTGATGACCATCTACGATCCCGAGGCCGCCCGTCGCAGCGCGCTGGGACGTAAGATATAACAACCTAGCCTACCGCGCTCATTAAACACTGCCCTCCGCCTACTTCAGCTCATGAAGGCGTAATACTCTACTAAGTCGTCATTAGTGGCCATTGAAGATGAATAGGGAATCGAGCTTGAGAGTCGGTAGTTATTTTCAGCGTTTATGTAATGGTGCTTATCGACGAAATGCTGTCCAGCAAAAAAGACATGCGGTGTTGTTTTTTCTAGAATGTGTTTTGTTAAATAGCTTTGCATAATCACGGGGCACGGGCCGTAGGCAAGAGGCGAGTAATGCCGTCTGTGTCGTTTTTTTTTTTTGTCAGTGCCGGATCCGATGCACGCTCGAATGGAGATGGAGAACAGGACGATACCGAACCTGCACTTCTTCCTGAGTAACCTGCTCACTGGACAGGTGAACTAGCCCGCGCCCTGCTGGGGGGGGGGGTGTTTGAACCCCCCCCCTTGTGGTTTTTCGCGAATATCTCAAAAACGGCGGCGCGGAGCGACGCCGTTTTGGTACACCTTATCATACATCAATTCTACACATGTTGTAAAAATTTCAGACCAAGGTCATTCAAGGTCAGGTCACCAGGTCACTTGAAGTGACCTCACCTCATAAACAGTTTCAATGTCTGTCATAGCTACACCGAGTGACCGATCGCTTTGAAACTTTCAGCGATTGCTAAGAGCAATAGCATGTACAAAATGTATATCTCAGAATTTTGATATCGATGACCTAAGGTCAGGTCAATTTTGCGACCTCCCCATTATAAGTCAATGGGAGAAAATTGAAATGCGCCTCTTTGGACAAAAGACATTATAAACACTCCCAAACACCGAATTACAAGTAGTTTAGACACACTGAACATGAAAATGGTGTCCGTGACCCTTGTTTATGCCCTGAGGTCATCTTAGGTAACGAATGGTATCTAACCTTTTTTTCGCAAAGAACTTTTGATAGAGGCATGCTAGAGCGATTAAAACGCCTTAGATGTGTTCAGCTCGACAATACGAATCGACTGATATGCAACATGACCCTTTCCGGTCATGTCATGACCTTGACCTGAGGTCAAATTTTCAAGTTGACCTTTCAAGGTGAACTTATACTTCATTCGATGCGTCTTGACGAGAGGAACACAATGCCGGTAAAAGTAACCTCGTACAAGGCTTGGGTCAAAAGTTATTGCAAAAAACTGTTTCCGAAAAAATCGGCTATTTTTGCAGTTTTTGCCCCCTGCAGGCAAAACCGTTGACGTTAGGTCAAATCTGAGAGAATTACTCAGAAAGGACGTTAATAGGGCTATCGAATGCGCTTTTCCGCAGCGCTGTAGCTCTATTGGTTCTCGAGTTATGCGTTGGCTTCTTGGAAATTTTCGACATTCGACCTGGAAATCGGCGAAATTTTGCCTTCAATGACCTCTGGTGACCTGACCTTTGACCTGACCAAAAAATTGACCGAAGTGATTTCGTCATTATTTTTGACGCTCTTTCGAACGCCGCTTTCCGCGTATCGCTACGTGGTCCAGGAGCCGAGTTACAAGGGGGGGGGGTGTTCAAACACCCCCCCCCCCCAGCAGGGCGTGGAAATCCAGGACCCCCAGCCGGGCGCGGGCTAGCAGCTTGGGGACTGCACATTTACCCACTCACTTGTGATAGGAGGGGACGAGAAATAATCTGCTGAGCGATAGGAACTCAGGGACTGTTCAGAATACTGTTGTGCTAAGGCAAAGATGATTACGTTCGGATAACCTTTGACCTGACGTAATGACCTCTGACCTAACGTAATCGTTTTTGCCTTTGCACAGCAGAATAACCTTTTCACCGGGACATAGTCGGGTCTTTGGCTAAATAGATATGATGCTTTCTATCATCGCAGTTTGTGACGATTCTGTGCGGCAGGTTTGTCTGCACATACTAGGTTCCTATGTTCTCTACCCAAAGCTCAGTACTGCCTTGTTTGACAGGGCTGGCTGTACTCGACGCCCATGTACTACGGCTACTACTACCGCGACTCGATCCGCACATCGTCCTACACGCACTACCACATGCCGTCCGCCTATCTGGCCATCACCACCTTCTGCATCACCTACCAGCTCATGAAGCTGGCCACCAGGTCAGTGGCGCTTGGTCAATGACAACGGCGAATTATACTGGCCGTATAATTGTTTCACTTGTATATGAGTCGTCCTTTGTTTGTGCTGTGTTGTGTGCCATTATTCGAAATTCCATAAAAGTCGACCAATACTATTTGCGTCAGACAAGCCCGTGCCGAGCAGCAACTCCATCCATCCGCTACCCCCAGCACGGCTCGCTCCTACCGTAAGAACTTCATCGACGTGTCCACCGACACCAGCGGCAACGTGGCCAACCTGATCTTCGCCGGGTGGGACGCTCGCGTCACATCCCAGGAGTTGGCCGAGCTGAAACGCACCGGACTCTACCAGGCTTTCCAGGTGCGGTGCCTGTGAGCCGTGAGGGGAGGGGGGGGAGACCGGAGTCACTGGTCTGTGAGTGGAGCTTAGTATGGGTTCAGAGAAACTACGTCTATCCCCGACAAAGTCCTCTTGTTATTTGTTGGCATCAAACAATTTCCTTTGCAAAACGACTTAATGCTCGTTTTCCACCCTTGTCGACTGGCTTCCTTCAGAACAGTTGTAGCTTAAGTATCCTTCCTAATCGTGTCATCACGTTCCCCATTCAATCATTACGCTACCATTGTGTCTGTCATCATTCCCTTCGTCCTTTCCTCATCCTTTTCTTCCACCTCCAATCCTCAGCGGAAGCTCAAGAAGAAGGAGGAGCTGCACGCGGCCGAGCAGGCTGCTGCCGCCGGGGAGGATCCGGCGGCGGCCGCCCAGCGCCGGCGCGCCCAGCTGTACACGGTGCTGGGCCGGCTGGCCAGCAACCTGCTGGTGGTGGCCGTGCTGGGCGCCGTGGCCGTGCTCACCTGGAACGTCATGGGCATGGACGCGGTACGTCCGGGGAAGGGGAGAGGGGGATCATATGGGAAAGAGTGTTGAGGTGAGACAGAGGGTAACCTACGGACAGACAATGATGGGTTTTGCGGACTAGTTCAGGCGCTCTCCTGCTCCCGCTTTTTATTCCTCGCTGTCCTGGTACTACTCTGCGCCGTCTCTCGCTATTCCATTTTCCGTTGTCATTCTTCGCGACTTTTCTCTGCCACTCTGTCTCGTGCTCAGTCCTTGGCTCTTTTGCACCGCCCTGTCCCTAGTCCTCGTGGCCTTTCCATCTAACCTTTTCTACCCTGCTCTATCCCGTCCAACCCCATTCGACATGCCCTGTCCCGTCCTGACCTGACGCGATCCCCATCCGCTTCCACAGACGCTGGGCCCGGACGGCAGCTTCATCTCCCTCCTGGGCTCCGCCATCATGATCAGCGCCTCCATGGCGCTCTTCCCATGCTCTTCCAGTTCCTCGGCATGCTGGAGAACTTCAAACACCCCCGAGCGCTCATGTTCATCACGTTGATCAGGTGGGCATTGGTGGACCGTGGGCGGCTAACGGGGATGGGTGGTATAAAGTTAATTAGATGAGAAGAAGTAGCGTGACGTGACTCTAACCTGCAGGGTTGTGCTTGACTCATGAGTCGAGTCATAAATTTGACTCAACTCTGACTCAAATGAGTCAGATTTGAGTCGAGTCGGATAAAGTGTTGAGCTGTTGAGTTAAGTCAGAGTTGAGTCGGACAAAAATATTAAGGCTTTGAGTTGAGTCAGAGTTGAGTCAGTAAAATAACTTTCGACATTGAGTTGAGTCAAACATTTAGGAACATGAGTCAGCTGACTCAACTTTCTAGAAACAAGCTTTTCATTTCCCCCTCCCCCCCCCCCCCGCTTAACAACTTCGCCCTGGCTCTGCTGCCGGATTTTTTTCCACCCCGCCCCGCTCAGCATTTTTTATCTGAGTCAATTTTGAGTCAACTCACTTGACTCAACAAAAATTGAGTCAAGTTTGAGTCGACTCATATTTCATTGAGCCGCTTGAGTCATGAGTCGAGTCAAGGGAAAAATCAGCTCCTTGTTTGAGTCAGAGTTGAGTCAGGACTTTCTGAAGTTGAATGATGAGTCGAGTCGGCAAATTTCTTTGAGTCGAGCACAACCCTGCTAACCTGAGCCTGGACCGACCCTGAATCAATCCATGATCTGACTGACCTGAATATCCTAACGTGACTGACCTGACGCTGATTTGACTCTGACCTCACCCGACTCAGACCTTGACCCTTACCTAACCCTGACCTGATCCTGACCAGACCCTCACCCTGATCTGACCTACACTCCCCGTAGGATGGTGGTGATGGCCATCATCATCCTGGGCACCATCGTGATCTACTGGGTGCAGCAGGTCAACAACCGCTCCACCGATACTGACTCGGGCGCCGGGACGAGGTGGGTGCCTGTACTGCAGCGAATTCGCTGATTGGGGAGGCAGTTCACTGTAATGCTCGTGGGTTGTGGCTGAGGGGGTTACAGGCCCAGGGCTGAAACGAAACGTCCGATTGGGTCCAGCTGACGAAGCTCCAAAAATAATTGAGCAATCGGCATACATATTTTCGATACTTGGCTTACAAAACAAAATGCAGGCAAGATGCAGACGAGTTAAAGCTACGACTTAATCGCCACGCCATATGATATGGATCGCTCATGATTGACCCTCGCCCGCACATGGGGGGGGGGGGGGGGTGCCACCCCACCCCACCCCAGGTAGTCTTTCTGCTCTGCAATCAACATTTTTAGAGCTAGAAGGCTGATTTTTCGTATAGCTGCTCCTCTATCCTTTCTTGATGTCCACTGAAAATTTCAAGTTTCTGCGGTTTTCGGTTTCGGAGATATGACCTTGTTTTTAAGGTCATGTCATGACCCAAATGGCCAATTCTCAACATCTTGCGTTGGCTATGGGCCTTGTGAGCTTTTGACACCTTGATTTCGGCCTTTTTTGTCAGTTTTACCTCCGACCTATCATGGAACATGTTGTTTGACGATGTACAGATGTCAAGGTCAAGGTCAAGGTCAACCTAGGTCATCTAAGATAATTGCGTTTTAGGCAAGCGGAATTTACTTTTTGTGATTTTTTTTACTGCTTTTTTGGTAAAAGCTTCCCAGATCATGATTTCATGTAATATGGACACATAAACAATCGGTGCACACATCAGTATACACACAGACACACACAGACATACAAACACATATAATTGACCTTGACCTAACTTGACCTGAAATGACCTCAGCAGCAAAAACCTGGTCGGATAGTGTGACAAAGAGGTTCTAGCTGGCTTGGCACCAGAAAACGGCATCGTCATCGGTATATGATAAGCAGCGCACTTGATATCCAACGGTGACCCAAAACAGCAACATTTTTTAGTTTGACCTGACCTGGAAGGTCAATGACTGACCTGAGAAGGCAAAACTGGGTATCATTGGATTCATCTCTTCCCAAAAAATCTTTTTGGTCACTTACCGCTAAGCTCTATCTCCAACAGGAACGAAATGGCGCGGGGGGGGGGGGTGCCAACCCCCCCCCCATGTGCGCGGTTCTAGGATGGGAAAATGGCATGTGCGGGCGAGGGTTGAAATGCATTCATAAATGACTTCAGGTAAAGAGTCCGGTTGGTCTTGACTTTGTCATCTATTCCGGCAGTGTTGGGAGAATGAGGTGGGATCGGAGCTGTACCAGCTGATGATCGTCGACCTGTTCTTCATGTTCGTCTTCGAGCTGGGACTCGAGTTCGCCAGAAAAGTGGCACACGAGTGAGTACCGACTCCGGCTCGGATTTCCGAAATCGACTCTGACTCCGACTCCAGTCACAACTGTCGACTCCGACTCCGACTCCGCAGCCCTGCAGCCTCCCTCTGTAACAACCCTCCCCGCTCTCCTCAGGCACGGTCTCTGGGTGGAGGAGCCGCACTTTGACATCCCACGGAACACCATGTTCCTGATCTACAGTCAGACACTGGTGTGGACGGGCGCCTACTTCAGTCCGCTGCTGTCGCTCGTGGGATCCGCCAAACTCGCCATCATGTTCTACGTTCGAAAGGTGAGGACGTTTGTAGTTCTGTGCATATCGGTGAATTTAGTTCCGTGTCTGTAGATCCGATGTTTTTCAGAAAGCATTGGTGAGGAAAGGAATCCTCATTAACATTAATACAAGACAACGGTGAAGAATAGAGCAGTTAACCTGATAGCCGCTGGAATAACTGGTATTACTCTCGACACATATTTTCAGACGGATAAGTCCGGTTTTTATATCTGCGCAGTATCCCGTTACGCAGCTCGCTCATTTACACCTCGCAGCGGGAGTAAACCTATATCTTTCACCAGTCTGGCACTTGTTCCTCCCAATGCGATATGACCGGCGTCCGTCACGTCTCCCACAGTGGTCCATGTTCCGTCACTGCACGCCCCAGTCGCGCTCCGTGAGGGCCTCCCAGACACAGACCCTGTTCAGAATGGTGGCCTTCATCGTGTGCTTTCTGGCCGCCTGCTTCACCGGCTACATCGTCACCAAGTGAGTCGTATAGGGAGTCGTGGTGAGTCGCATACGGAGTCATGTCAGTTAGGGAGTCATGTGGAGTCAGGGAGTAAGATATGTTGAATGTGAAGTCGTGAGGCATAAATCCGCTCGTCATTGAGTGATCTCACTTCGCTGGTGTCATGATCTTCGCTAGACTCCACAAATAACTCCTATTCCTTATCCGTGCATGCATCATTGAGCGAATATATTGCCCGTCGAATATATCGAAACTATCGCCTATAGCAACCCTGAATTATAGTCATAGTCATAGTCAAAGTGCATCCAGAAATGCAAATACTGGTGATGGTGGGAGTTTGTTGCGGCCTGCTATTTTGCTTGTTACCGAAGAACAGTTTCGTTGGATTCATCTGCAGAGCTAACCGGTCCGACCTTTTCCTCTCCCCGCAGTGTGCGTCCGTCGGCTACCTGCGGTCCGTTCCAGCAGAAATCACTGCCCTCCGTAGTCGTCAACGATACTTTCACAAGGTCGGTCACGGTGGCTCCGTGAAACGTTGTAGCTATGGTGCCGCGCCTTCTTTCGGAATCAGAAACGTCGAAAGATAAGATAGTCCCCTTTTCCTCAACTTATGTACGGAAGTTTTCACGATCTGAGGATTTGTTCATTTGAAGGAATCTCTAATTTAAATGTTTTGCTTTAAGATGTGTGCGCAGGTTTGCTTGTGCTGCCTCTCGATCGGTTGTTCACTGTAATGACTCGCACGGTGTTTGCAGATGGAAGGACGAGGGTCACACGGCGCCCTACACCATGGCTATGTACTCTAGCCGACCGGGCGTGGTGGCTGTGTGGCTGCTCATTCAGGTCAGACCAACCCTCCACACACATATAGACACAGACACAAACACAAACAGACAGGCTAATAGACAGAGGTGCTGTATGTACTCTAGCCGACCGGGCGTGGTGGCCGTGTGGCTGCTCATCTTCAGGTCAGTGAAACAATTATTGTCCCACTTTCCTTTTCAACCTCCAATCTACCATTTCCTTTTCAAGGTAAATCGGATATTTACGATGGAACGTACGTATTTATTTGTTCACGCGAGATTGACAGCAGCCGGCATAGCCCTTTATCGACTCGACTTTACGTTCATGTCGCTCAGAACACAGCTCGTCCCCCTATTGTGGTGGCGTACCCTGACTTTCCCATCCCTTCCCTCCCCCTCCCGTTCCCCCAGTGTTGTGGCTACTACTGCGCTCTCTGGCGCTGGCCGTCAGGAGATGATTGTCCTGCTGCCGACGGACAGCTAGTGCTGGAGGGACAGGATAAGGTCATGCTGCTGCAGCTCATCGACGAGGCCGCCACGCGTGAGTCAGAGTTCTGAATATATCCTGAATATAACCTGAAGCAGAATATCAGCTACCCACCGGATATCTAGGTATCGATGGATATCTTACTGATGTCAGGCCCTCTACTTGAATATCAACAATTCGCGGCGGCTCGTATATTGCCCTAATTCCTCACTCCACTCTAGTCGGTCTAACCCAGAGCCCCCCTTCCTCTTGCAGGACTGCAGGGGATGCGTCGTATCAACCGTCCCGGCCTGCCAGACGTCGAGGAAGAGGACGATGACCAGCAAGTACCCCGTGGACGACCCGCGCGCCATCATCAAGGTGCTCTTCGAGCCGGCTAAAGATGATGAACCGGAACCGGAGGCCCAGCCGCCGCCGCCGCCGCCGCCCCCGCCATCCCCGCACTCACTCTCAGGTATGGGAGGGTGGAAACCGCGAGGAGTGGGCTTGTATGGGTGTATGGTATGGCCAGGCCCGTGGGATGTATGGGTTAGAGACGCGGGGAGGGAATAGTAGCGGTAGATAGGTCAATGTATACGGGCACCAGAGTGGTGTGGTGATTTCAGTACCTATGCGGTTGATTATAAGTTAGGACGTTGTGGATGCTATGAAGGAAACGGTTGTCAGATATAACAGCAGCATTTAAACGTATATATTTCATGAAGCACTTATTCAATGCCTTTGCACTCTAAAATGTTTATAGTGTTGTCAGACAGATGGGATAGATATCGAGTTACACGTACAGCTGTTATCGACGTCGATGTCGATAACTAATGTCGGTCCTCTACCACCCTTCACACAATGGCTATAACTGACAGCCGGACGTCATATCCCCCACCCCCACCCACCCTCGCAAACTCAGTCTTTCCTCAAAGAATTCCTACATCTCATATACCTACAACTTCAAAGACTACGCCCCGGCCTCTTCTCACACGCATTTCCCGAGCCTATGACATTTCTCTTCCGCCCTCACACCCACTCACCCCCTAACCCCTGAAATTTTCGTCAACCTATTCCTCCCACACCCCATCAAGCCTCCTCACATCAATTCCGTCCATCCACCACCTCCCACAATTGATGAGCCGGTCCGGCCTGCGCGGCGCGCTAGCATAAACCGATACCTCCGCCGCGCGGCAGCGGCCGCTGAGCTGGCCGAGGCGCGGTTGGCGGTGGAGCAGGCGGGAAAATCGCCGCCGCGCCTCTCCGTGGTGCGCCGCACGCCGTTCCCGCTGGGTACAGCCGGCACGGGCGGCCCCAGCAGCCAGATACGGCGACCCAGCAAGGTCACAAAGGCGGACGAGAAACGTCAGGCTGGTGAGTGCCAACCGATGCCAGAACGGGGAATTAGTGTCTCTTTTTATAGCGAGGTATGGTAGTTAAGATAAAGACTGTTGGTTGTTTTGGTGAAGTGCGGGAGACGCATCTATTCTCGGACATTGCGCTAGATGCCTTTATCAGCTGGGATGAGCCAGGAGGGTACTCCTATAATCTGTCTCAGTGCACTAAAGCTTCAGTGACATTTCACGTTTCAACGTCCATTTATTAGGAAATGCCCGTAGTCATTTCCTTTCCAAAAATCACATCATCCAAATCTGGTTCTCTTGTACTCACCTCCCTACAACACCCCTAGCTTAGACCTTTGCCATTCTTTTTCACCCGACCGGTCTGAACGATGAACCGACCAAATCGTCCCTAAATCGATCGAGCATGTCCTGAAGCGACCCCCACTCGCTGCTGTCTGTTGCAGGCCAGTTCTGGCACTGGTTCAGGGACAAGCTGGAGGGGTCCTCGGACGAGGAGACCGACACGGACTCGTGAGTCGCCTCACACTCTGTGCTTTCAAAGATTCCATAGTGCTTCCGTCCGATGATGGCCTCTGGTTCATGAAAGTTTGAGATGAAATCCCTCCCTGGCTCATCCCAGTTGATCGTCATGGCATGACAGTGTGCGCTATGTCCGCATTATGATTTCTTTCTTAGTTAGCTCACTTGCTATTAATCGATTTCAAACTATGATCGTCATGTGCTTCATAAACTTGTATTTTTTCTTTTCAGGTATTTTTCGGTCGGTACCTTTTTTGCACTGGGATTTTTATTTTGTCGTGCTTGATCATTTTTGACCTGTATCAAAGATTAATTCGATCTTCTTTCCGATTGATTCGTCCCTTTTTGTTACAGCAACCTCAGCAGCTAAATACTGGTCGAGACACGCCCAGGATGACGAAAAGCCACCTCAAAAGTGAGCGGCCCACCCGGCGCCGGAGCTGTCTTGAACGCCGCCATGGGAGGAAATGTTCGGGACAATCGAGCTTTGTTTGCTAACGGCGGTGCGTGTGTCACATGTTGGATTCCCAGCGCTTCATAAGCACATGCATCGTAAGCTGTATGAAATGTATAATAAAATCATTTCTCGTAGTGTCATATGCTTGAGCGTTTGTCATTTGCAGCGCAGGTAGGAAATATGGCACTTCTGTGATGCGAGTACAAGATATAAACTGGTCTTATGACTAGATCGTTACTCGTGAGCCTGCTCGGTCAAACGTCCACCGCTGCGATGTCTTGTGTGGACTGTTTTGTCGCTCACCAAGTTTACTGTTGGCCTGTCCTGTTCTCTGCCCGGGATTACTGCACAATCTGGGTTCAGCAGATGGATCTCTAGCAGCTCAGGTGTATAGCATGTATGTAGTTCGGTCTGCTCAATATGTCATAATAAGTTCGTGATCTCATTCGTGTTTGTAACTGTTGTGCTTTTCTTGAGAATAGATGTTCAACGCCTTTCAAAATAGTTTTCCGACCAATTATCCTAGGCATTGACTGAATATCATGTCGCGACTGCTATTCAATACCCCCCTCTCCTCCCATTTGGCCCAGCCCTGCCCCAGTTGTTACTGACCCTTACAGGGCGTGGCTGGTGGCCCGCTCACGTCTGTCTCATACAGCCCGTCCTACTGACGGGCTGTGGTTGGACGGAGCCGAGGACAGGCTACCATTACCGTCCCTAGACAGCCTCTGCCAAACGCAGCACAGGCTCCGACGAGCGGTAGCGTGTCACGTGACAGCCACTTAACCGTCCGTGAGCTGTCCCTATCGGGCGCAGCGTGAACTGTTGACGGACGGTGGGACATGTGTCACGTGTCAGCAATTGCCGTCCGTGGATATTCCCTGCCAAACGCAGCACAAACTATTGATGGCATCACGTGTAATAACAGAGTTTCCGACCTCCCACCGACACGTGGGTCGATAAGAGAGACAGAGTTCAGTAATCACGTACGTCACTAGTGGTGCAGTCATATTGATATCTACGAATGTAGAAAGTATCCAGTATCCAGCTTGCGTCATTCGTTGGACTTGGTGGATAGTTTGAAATTGCGATGAACACAGAATATGTCACATAATTACACTAACCAGCTCAACAACAGTACAGCCACTGCAACGAAGAACATCATTATAACAAAAAAATTCGAATTCCAACTCGCACACCAGTCGTAGAATGCGATATTGGCTCTCAATATTCTTTACATTGGCTCTCACATTCCTCTCATCATCCTACATTCTCGACAGTCCTCGGCATTATCTCCCGTAGCTTCGCTCTCCCTCGGGGTCTAACTATACCGTCTCTCTCGTTCCCTCCCAAAGGTCCTCCCTCTCCTCTTCTCTCTCCCGTGGGTCTGTCATCTCCTTAGTCTCAGCCTGCCTCCATCAGTGACGTCGGCCGGGCACGTGCAGGAGGCGGATCCAGCCGTCCCCCGGCCGCCGCCAGCACCTGGCCGGTGCTGTCCACTGTCGAGAAGGGCTTCTGAGTCGCTCCCGTACCAATCACCTGCCACAGATACCGATCAATGTAATCCACAGAACGGAATTCCGAGAACGGCCGACCGCCTTGTTAGCGGGGGTCGGGGGAATTCACGGCGGACGCCAATTTGAGGGATTATTGGGCACGATCGGCTTACTGGGTGTATTCTGAGACGTAGCACGGTAAAACTACGATGCATTTGTTTGAGAAAGATCAGCGTAACTACGCAATGTACGCCAACGTAAAGCTGATCAGGACATGTCGTTAATGTAGGCATTAGTTCTAGTACGGATGCGGTTTCTGGAAAAGAATTCGACGGGATAGGCGTGTTGATAGGCGCCGAATGTCCCAGGCCAATCCATAGGTAAATGGTTGCGTCTTTCTGTCGCTCATGGGATAATGACCCCACGGTACGTTTTGATTTGCCACAAGCCGCTTAGAGGTCGGTTGGGGTTGTCCGAAAGCCCATTTTGTGGGCCCGATATAATTGAATGCTTTGTTTAGGTACTCATTAATGTGACTTTTTTTGTGCAATGCTGAAATCAAATGTGCCATTCAATTATAATTTATCGCCGGTCGGCTGGTTTGTCACCTTTTCCGTCATGTGGTTGATGTACTGGAAGCTGTTGGTTCCTGACCCGGCCGTCAGTAGGTGGTGGCCGTCCGGGTCGGAGCGGGCAAACTACCGAAAACAGAGGTCAGTGTGAGCTCAGAAAACATCAGAGATATCCCCACTGATCAGCAAACAGAGGTCCGTCTGAGCTGTCCGCACTAATCAACAGATGTCCGTCTTAGCTCAGAAAACATCAGAGGTCTGCCTGAGATATTCCCACTGATCGTCTAAGCTATCCCACTGATCAACGGAGGTACCACTGAGCCATCCACACTGATCAGACAACAGGGGTCTGTCTGAATAGTCGCCCAACCAAATACTGACTAGATATGAGACAACCGATGTGCGCATGAGCTCTCCTCTTCAATATTGATCCGCTAGGAACAATACTTCCGCCTGTCGTTAACCCGGCAGTTGCTGGGGTATTTCGCCACCCACCGTTTGCTGGGGGGGGGGGCGTTAAACGCCCCCAGCCGATAACTCGAGAACCAATAGGCGCAGCGAAACGCACGAGGCGGCAAACGAAAGAGCGCGACGAGACGCTTCGGATGAGTACTTTAAAGTTGAATTTTGAGGTCACAGGTCGGGTCAAGGTCAAGTCAAACACCTGAAATCGGGCTTTCAGTAGCATGGACTTCAGGACTTCGCAATGGGCGCCTCTCGCCATAAACTCTGTCAATACGGTGCACAATCCATCTTATAAGGCCTACAAGAGTGTCAGCTCCATGTAGGGGTCAGTCAAGCATAGGTCAGGGTCAAGGTCAGGTCAACCGGGTAGGCACATATCCCCGAAAATCAAAACTGATATTCGCAGCCTGTGACACATGTTTTATAGGTAATTTGGGGCGTAGAACACGATGGTGACATTCATTTTATTATATGTGTACGTGTTTGGCTCAAAAAGCTCAATTTAATAAATTCATGTATCATGGTCGTGAAGTAGTCACGAAAAATTGCCAAGATTCAGTTCAAGATTATGGAAAATGCGGAACGATAATCAATAATCGAAGATAGCCATTTGATTGACCATGGTATTGGCAGTCTAATGGCGTTTACGGCATGTCTGTATGTTTATTCTGTGATTTTATATGATTTTTTGAACATATGCCGTTTTTGGTCGAAAACTCAGAAATCATGACGTCACTAATACCTCGATATCTCAAAAATTGTCCGACCGATTTTTTTGAAACTTTGTCACGATAAACTTCAATCAATTCCCTACAGGTACCCAAAAATTTGGCGCGCCTGCGGCGCGCCGTTTTTATACTATGGCCCGGCGAAAAAAGTGGGGGCGTTTAACGCCCCCCCCCAGCAACTCGCGGGTTAAAACCTGCTTAGTGGTAGTTGACTGCTCAGTAATGCTTCATTATGCGTATTGCATGCGCATGCATCATTAATGCGTATTCATTATAGAAACAAACAAGGCTTTATCTAGCTAGAAATATGTCACTAGAGACATGGGAATGGTTCTTAGTTCTTACATGATTTCCTTCTCCAAAAAGAGCAATATAATGGGACGATTAGCTGACCTGAACAGCGTAGATGTTGTCTCCCTCCACGTGCGTTTTTCGGAACGTGGTTAGTGACTTGATGGGCAGCCTCTGTCTGAGGTCCCAGAGCTGGATGGCCTGGTCGGCTTTCCACGAGCCCGTCACAACCGTCTCACCCTAATAAGGCCGGGAAAGGAGGATAATTATACCGTGCACAACAGAACTATGTATCATGGTGAATTGAACAACAAGCTCTAAGCATGGCATTTCGACCCAAATCCCCTCCAATCAGGGATGTTAACTTGTTTTCAGGAAAAGTCAAATATGTCATCCCTCTTGTCCATTGCCTGTTCATCATGATGATCCTGAAAGGTTAGACTCGTCTAGCCTAGCATCCGTACATAATAATATTGAAAACATTACATTTAATATATCATTTAGCCTGTCATAAAGGTACATTGATGCGGTCGTTTTCCCCTCAGACCTATTTCGGTTACCGTCTGACGGACTGACCTTGATGTCGATGGCCTCTCCACAGATGTGCGGTCCTCCCAAAGATCCGATCATACCGGCGTCTGTGCGCATGTCCCAGATCTGTGCGCAAAATAACATGACTCGTGACCATCGGCTGCCATCACTTATCTCGAAGTTTTAACTGTGAGGTCTGAGAAATTGAAAATCATGAAGTTTTGATGACTGCCGAGTGTCGATTGAATGCAATGAATTTCATGACGGAATGGGATTGAATACAAGCTGACGTTTTGTTTCCAAATGTCAATCCTAAAACATTTCCTGCCGGAAGAAGATTGGCCGTTTGCCAAGCCTTCCGTATCCAGACTTGAGTGAGTGCAAGTGTTTCGCATCTCTTACGATAGATGGCAGCACGCACAAACGCCTGAAATTATGCTGTGCCGCAATGCGTATTCAGGCGGTATCGCAAGCGTTCGACGTCCGCCTCTATAAACATCTGTCTTACTGCCGGCAGGGCGAAGTATTGAGGTTGATAAGACACCAGCTGGGGAAGAAAACTCATTTTGATGGTGGAACAATGTGTGCCTTGGCTTATGAGTTGCGCACTATGTGAGCCAAGTGGATAGACAAATATGAAACATTGACGTGTGGGACAGTATAATGGTGGCAGGGTAAGAACTTGCTTTGATGGTGTCGTCCCATCCGCCGGTGAGCAGCACATCTCGCTGGTCCGGGTGGAACTTGATGCAGAACACGCTCAGCGCGTGGCCGCCACTGTCCTTTTGCGGCGTGCTTGGGTGATAGCCTTTGTACTCCTGGATCAACTGAACGGGGACAGAATGAGTTCGGTCAGTTTTCTGCAGTCTCATGGAGGGAGTGAAGTCTTGTGCAACCGCAACTGACTAACTTTAATTTCGTTTTGTAGCTCAGAGCTGTCAGATGTCACACAAAAACACGGATCGCTCAATACTGGGTTAAAGTGTGTTTTACATTCCTGACCATAGATGGCTGCACATATAAACGCCTGAATTGATGCTGTGCCGCAATACGTATTATACGAATGGTATGGTGTCACCAGTGTCACTACCTCCTTAAATCATCTGTCTCAACTTTCAGTAAGTACTGTGAGTGTGACAGTGTGTGCCATTAGCCTGAAGCGACAAAATCGTTCTTTCATCCGACCTGAGACCACACTGACCTCCTTGGTCTGAGTGTCGTAGATGCGCAGACTGAGGTCCTTCCCACCAGACGCCAGCAGCTCGCCGGCCATGTTCAGGTCGATGGCGTTGATGCGGTTGTTGTTTTCTGTTTCAACAGTTACAGCCACGGTGACGATAATCAGTGATGACATTGATCGGTAACAAATGAGGTAATCAGGGCGGCAGAACTAGTACTGGCACTAAACGCAATATCAAACGACGAATGCGTACAAATGCAATGTAGCTAAGAAGTAGGAATTGGAAAGCCGTTAGTGTGGACTACTGAACATTGTGGAGCGACTAACTTATGTACCTAAGTACAGTCCACAGCATAAGTAATGTGCGGTTTCAGTCCTGGGTATGTTCTGCTTCTGAAGCTTAGGATTGATTAGTCAGACCACAATGAAACTTTGAATGTAGCTAACCTGTATCGTTACTCAATGCAGCTGCAACTTTATCTATTGACGTCTTCTTTTCGATCACTCCGCATTAAACAATCGCCAGTCAAAGCCATCCATTGAGATTGGTAAAACCCTACATTACTTTAGCGGTGGGCTGTACCTCTGGCATTCGATTATTGTGATCGAGGAATCTGTGTTTGCCTTACCTTCGGCAAACTTCTCGCATTTCTCGTCTGGCTTTCCCGCCAAGTTGTGTCGGAAAATTGTCCCAAATATTGCGCATGAGTAGAGAATCTGTAACAACCGTGCATCACAGGTCACGTACCGGGATCTAGTCACACGACTCTGTGATGCAACCGAACGGTTCAAGTCAAAGCTGACAGTTATTCACGTTGCTATTGACCCGACTGGTTTCAAATGAAATAAATACTATCAACGTACGTACCTTGCTTTGCTTTGGGTGGAAGCGGACGGCCATAATAGTATCGTCTGCATAGCGGGAGCCCTTACGCAGCGTGCTCTGCTGTGTGAAAAGGCCCTGAGCGTCTTTTTCATACATCTGAAATGACAAATGACGGAAAGCGCGCTTCATCAGTAAAAAGAGAAACAACATAAGGCAGGCAGCATGTCTAATAATAGCGATTTACAAGCTTTTATGCTTATAGCAAAGTCGTATGGCCATGACTCTTGTTAGGTACTAATAACAATAAATATCTGCCAGAAGCAAACAGCTAGCGCCGAGGCGCTCGAGCCTGGCTCTAGCCACGGTCGGCTCGATTATCTTCCATCTGATCTGATCAAGTGGCTGCAGACTTACCAGAACGGCTCCATTACCGAACCCCCCGACTAGTGCGCCACCTCCGGGAGCAAACCGTATCGAATAACATCCGCTGGCATATCTGTAACAGTCGGCGCACAGACAATTTGGTTAGCGTCAACCGACAGCTTGGAGGACTGGAGTAGCGCCGCTGCTCAAGACACAAACAGCACAGTCAGACGTTCAGAAAGGCCGGTGCGATCACATGTGATCCAGCTTTCGATAGAACTAGACACAATCTACTAAGCATAGGCTGGCTTTTAGCTTTTTTTTCACGGCATATACGTGTGTTTATAGTTTGAACGGTATGAAGAAAAGAAAGCTACTAACCTTGGCGGCATGAGTGCCTTCTGCGAGATCTCGAATCCAGTGAGCGTTAGCTCTGGTTCTTGCAGCTGAGAGGCTGAGGGAAAGACAAAGGGAGAGAAGGGAGAGGGGCTGAAGAAGAGGAGTTACAGTGATAGGGAGGACTAATAATATGGGCAATTATGGAAAGGGACAATATAGACAATGCTCTGTAAGGAAAGGGATGGAGTAAAGAAGCAGCAACACAAGTTATGACTTATGCTTTGAGTGGTGCATATTTCTGAAACGTTAATTTTCCTCATCTTGACAGTGAAGCGAGTCGCGTAAACGTGCACCAGTTCTCGACAGTATCAAGCAATGGCTTACTGTCAGATTCTCTGGCGGTGACTGATCCACGTTTGATCAATCCAATGGATCTAGACGACAGGTAGGTGTGCTTCGACATGTTCCTGAAATGAGGAAATGGAAAACTATATCAAACATGTCTACTTAATCACCACATTTGGCATGGCTGCCTCGGGGCTGTCGGACAAGATTTAGGCCTTATGACACGGGCACATCTGATTTGTCACTCACCCGGTATGTTGGTGTAGATCAGAACAGTTATTGTCCTCTCAACAATTCATTTGGAGCTTTCAAACGTCTTTGAGAAGCACTATGTAGGTACTTAACCCGGCAGTTGCTGGGGTATTTCGCCACCCACCGTTTGCTGGGGGGGGGCGTTAAACGCCCCCAGCCGATAACTCGAGAACCAATAGGCGCAGCGAAACGCACGAGGCGGCAAACGAAAGAACGCGACGAGACGCTTCAGATGAGTACTTTTAAGTTGAATTTTGAGGTCACAGGTCAGGTCAAGGTCAGGTCAAACACCTGAAATCGGGCTTTCAGTAGCATGGACTTCAGGACTTCGCAATGGGCGCCTCTCGTCATAAACTCTGTCAAAACGGTGCACAATCCATCATATAAGGCCTACAAGAGTGTCAGCTCCATGCAGGGGTCAGTCAAGCATAGGTCAGGGTCAAGGTCAGGTCAACCGGGCGGGTGCATATCCCCGAAAATAAAAACTGATATTCGCAGCCTGTGACACATGTTTTATGGGTAATTTGGGGCGTAGAACACGATGGTGACATTCATTTTATCATATGTGTACGTGTTTGGCTAAAAAAGTTCAATTTAAGATATTCATGTATCATGGTCGTGAAGTAGTCACGAGAAATTGCCAAGATTCAGTTCAAGATTTTGGAAAATGCGGAACGATAATCAATAATCGAAGATAGCCATTTGATTCTTCATGGTATTGGCAGTCTAATGGCATTTACGGCATGTCTATATGTCTATTCTGTGATTTTATATGATTTTTGAACATATGCCGTTTTTGGTCGAAAACTCAGAAATCATGACGTCACTAAAACCTCGATATCTCAAAAATTTTCCGACTGATTTTTTTGAAACTTTGTCACAATAAACTTCAATCAATTTCCTACAGGTACCCAAAATTTGGCGCGCCTGCGGCGCGCCGTTTTTATGCTATGGCCCGGCGAAAAAAGTGGGGGCGTTTAACGCCCCCCCCCAGCAACTCGCGGGTTAAGATGTGAATTTTTAAGCAGCACTTTTGATACACGCACGTTGATGTCTTTCACATGAATAGCTAACCAAGTGATGATCTCGATAATGTGACGACCACCATTTACAAAAGTAATTGCAGTGAACGCTCAAAACAATATAAAACGTGTTCCATTTTACCCTAGCTTTGACCAAAACTGCGTCATATTTACGATATTTGCGGCGCATATCCAGCGTGGCCGGCAAACGGAGCTGCGGACACATCGTGACGTTCTTGAAATGGCACTTCTTGGTTGAATTGAATCCTCATTATCATCCACGTAGAAACAAAGACAAACGGTGAAGATCTCCAGATTGATGGGTCATTTCGACATTTGACACATCGTTGTTTGACGAATGAAAGAAGAAAGAGGAGCTTCGCCTAGCATAACGAAGGACATAACGAAGAGCGTAACGAAGAGACGAGAATTAGATACATGAAATGCATCATGCTTAGTTGACGAGGACGAAAAAAGACCATCTGTATCAGCACCGATGAAGGCATACTAATTCATACAAAAAGTGGACTTTCTGGGACCGATAAAATGCACAGCAAGACTACCGCCGAATTGACAAAGGCGGGTACAAACGTCTGCAGCTGTCAAAGACCAATCGGTAACCGCCGGCCCCCAAAGTCGATCATGTCACCATCAGTGGGTGATGACACCCTCAGATGACATGCGTCTGCCCAAGGCCGTCTGCCCCTAGGATGACGCGTGTGATATTACCCTCCCGGTCTGATGGAGAAATTATGGTCGTTCTCAGACAACCGATCAATTAGAGGAAGTCATGATCGGTGAGGGTCACGGGATCTTGGATCAGTGTGTTCCTGGCCGCGGAAACAGGTGGATCTCTTCTGCCCTGTCCATGGGAAAGGCGACATTTGATAGACAAACGAGAGCATCGGAAGATGAGGCTGGCATGACAAGTAAGTTTGCGTTTTGTGATGTCGTATATGTTCGTGACCACAATTTATTTATGTTTATGCGTATGGGTGTAGGCGGTAATGTATGCGCTTGTTAAACTAAGAGAGCGAAATAGACAAAGGGCCGTCGGGGGGAGGCAGAAAGGAAAACAACGAGAATGAGTGGAAGAGACAGAAGTGATAGAGAGAGTGAAAGAAAGAGCGAGAGAGAGAGAGAGAGAGAGGAGAGAGAGAGAGAGAGAGAGAGAGAGAGAGAGAGAGAGAGAGAGAGAGAGAGAGAGAGAGAGAGAGAGAGAGAGAGAGAGAGAGAGAGAGAGAGAGAGAGAGAAAGACGGAGATAGAGGAACCCACGACCGTTCGTTCTTAAATGTTCTTCCACTTTTCGTCAGTTTTTTTATTAACTCGTCTATCCTCTTATAGGTCATGGTGTTGAGCTTCGTCACTCATTGTACTGAGTGGATGACAAAGAATTGGTTCTCTGATTTAGTCATCTAACTGCACAGCGCTGCATTCAAACAAAATGGTAAGTATTGTTCTTTAAAACGGAAAATAAACCGTGCGTTGACAGTTTTATTGGCTCAAGAAACTGCATTTAAGAATAAACGGTGGTTTAAAACGTTCGAAAAATTGTTCATTGCACAATGAATAAATGTAGTAATCGCTTTATAATTTCCAGATATGTCGTGCGTCAGCCCTGTTACTGATAATATGTCTTAGTAAATGTCGGCTGTTAGGAGCAGGACCGGTTTCCAAATGGCAGTTTGTTGTAGTCTTTGTCAAATGGAAGTTCGTTATATTAGTGTTTGTTCTCTACATGCATATCTTTGCGTGGTTAATGAACGGCGATAATCGCCGGATTGCGAATCAAACAACCTGCTTATGCCGTTTCAGTACGGACTCATCCATAGCTGTGTCAAAGATGGGTGATGAACAACTATGGGAAGGACAAATGGATGGAAATATTGTAAGTATAATATTTGCACATGAATTTTTTAGGAGCGTACAATTTATTTGGTAAACATGTGACTGTTGTCTATGTTGCAACACAGATAATGAATAGACATGTTTATATTGCTACAATTCTTCCCCATGAATCTCTATTTAAAAAAAAATGTTTATTTTTCGAATCATCCGGTCTGATCGCCAGGGCATATCGGGAGCGGACGACGAGCAGACGTTCCTCAACTTCCAGTGCTACCCCGACCAGGCCACCCTGGACTTCATAGGCATCGTCGTCAAACATTTGGGTAAGGGAAGCCGACAACGGCTTGTTGGGAATACAGGATTCTCAATTACTTTTTTTTAGACCGTGATGAATATTTAGCCACTTTTAGTTGGCTTATATTATCGATAATTATTTTAGTTCTATTGCTCCGATATCCCAGCGCACACAGATGATATGAGGGCGGGGATTTGAAAGGGGACGACGAGTACATGCTCCAAGTCCATATGCATGCGACCTAATCTAGCCCATTCTATCGGAGGCCGGAGCTTTACCTGCTAAAATTTCAGTGATGAATTGAGTGATCAAAAATGAGTTTCATTTCCTTCTTAACATTCCGGCTGCTACTGCCACAGAGATCAGCCTCGAATACTTTCTGGAGGGGGTCGGTATGCATTTTGTCGATTTCACTATCGAGAAAGGCTACGGCGAGATGCTGCACACTCTAGGAAGAACCTTCCACGCATTTCTGGACAACCTCGACTATCTTCACTGGTGAGACCCGCATCTAATTACATAATACATATGGGGTGACACGCTCACAATATAAGCTCGTTTTACACGATGGATTAACACGTTCTTCTCGCCTGTCACAAGACTACATATGCGTTTTTCATACACATGTTTGATATGCTATATCCATTAAAGTATTCCGAACGCCTTTAGAAAACGATCGGGCGAAATGATCCCGGTTTTGTCGAGGCGTGCCTCATTCCTCACATTCAACACGTCCACCGTTTCAGCTACCTGATGACCACGGCCTTCCCGGGGATCGTGATGCCGTCGTTTGCCTGCACCGAGGACACGCGGCGGCCGGACGTGCTGTATGTCGATTACTACTCGCGACGACAGGGGCTCCAGACGCTGGCCATAGGTGCGATAATATACACAATAATATAGTTCAAAGGCTCGCTTGCAAGTCGGGAGAATATCATCGTATGATACAGGGTGGACCAAAAAGGATGGAAACATTTTAAACTCTCATAAAACATGCAATATTGCATGCAGGTGACTGAAAATGATACCAAACGACAGTATTTGTGGAAATTCATAATGACATCATGCTCAGCTGCTTTCTCTCGTTTTCAGTCTCTCATAGTAGATGTTCGAGGAGACCACCTTTGCGAGACAGGCACAGATCGGCCCGCCTCGCGGCTGACGCGATAGCCCGACGACACATGTCCTCAGGTATGACTCGCACAGCCTTGATGATCGCTCTCTTCAGGCCACAGAAGCTTGCTGGACCTTCTTTGTAGACCTGGCCCTTGAGATGAGGCCACAGGAAAAAAAATCCATAGGGGTCAAGTCAAGTGAGCAGACGGGCCAGTTCCGACTGGCACCGCGGGATATCAGCCGGTCACCAGAGTGGTTCTCGATCCACTTAAGCATTGTTTTGCTATGCGAGGAGAAGCATCGCCTTGCTGGAACCACATGAGGTCCAAAATACTGCCATACGTCGCTTGATCTCACTTCAAGAACTTCTTTAGCGTCGCTTGGTAGGTCAGCCACGTCGCACCCTGGAACCGAAGTGGAACTGGCCTGTCTGCTCAACCGACCTGACCCTACTGGATTTTTTCCTGTACGGTCATCTCAAGGGTCACCGGTCGTGAAAATTCACTAAAGCTTAAAGAAGGTTCTGTAAGCTTTACTGACCTGAAGAGAGCGATCACCAAGGCTGCGAGTCATACCAGAGGACATGTCGTCGGGCTATCGCGTCAGCCGCGAGGCGGGCCGATCTGTGCCTGTCTCGCAAAGGTGGTCTCCTTGAACATTTGCTGTGAGAGACTGAAAACGAGAGAAAGCAGCTGAGCATGACGTCATTATGAATTTCCACAAAATGTACTGTCGTTGGTATCATTTTCAGTCACCTGCATGCAATATTGCATGTTTTATACGAGTTTAAAATGTTTCCATCCTTTTGGTCCACCCTGTATATGTCAGTAAGTCGCAATATACTAGATATAATTACTCAATTTGCAAATGATACATGGGAACTGGGAAGCTAGCGAGGAGCTCCCGAAAGCAGCAGACGACGGATGCCACCAGCTATGCCCTGAAGGCTTGTATCCTTTTCCCTTTCGTAGGAGCCCTGAAGGGGTGCGCCAAGAACTTCTAAACCTAGCCGTCCAGTTCGAGGTGATGTGGACCAGGGAGGAGAGGATCAACGAGGAGGAGGTGGTCCACCACGTGCGACTGAGGTAAACCAACAGTGGAATGCAAGAAGGAAAATCGTATGGTCTTGTAGATATGTAAAATAAACCAATGAACTGCAAGCTTTTAACGAAGCATGTGTCAAGATCGTCAATTACGACACAACGCCACATCCGATGCCATTCCTTTGACACAATGAATTCCCAGTCTGACAGCCGCCCTCCTCTCGTCAGGGTGACCAGCTAGGCCAGCTGACCACCCCGACTCTACCTGTGCCCTCCGGGGACCGTCCTCGCTCTGCCCTCTCCCTGGCCCCCGCGGCAGATACGTTGGCTCCAGCTGAGGTAACTTTGTCAACACGGCTGAGTTTTCGGCGATAAACCCCCTACCACTTCATTTCAACCAGTG